TCCAGGACCCTGCAGATCATGACCTGAGCCAAAGGCAGACGCTTAACCAACTGAGCCACCAGGTGCCCCTATTTTGGACTTCTGAACTCCAGAGCTGTGAGATGATAAAACTGTGTTGTTTTAAAGCCACAAAACTTGTGGTAAAGTAGCACAGGAAACAAATATACTCCCTGATGCCAGTATCTTCAGCCAAATGTTGCATGGCTCCATTTGAAACTGTGATAACCACTTTGAGACCATGGGGACACAAGCCTTAGAAAGAACCAAGACAATACACTAAGGAGGGTTGAACCAAAAGATGGACAGTACCTGGCTAAAGGTGACAGAAGAGCCCAGGAACTATCCCTGGAAGCCCTTTGCTTCTGGATTTTATGGTCAGATAATGAATCGTGGCATATTTTGTTACTTGGTGGGGGGGGCACCACAAATTTCTTGAATTATAACCCTTTCTTGCTCCCAACCAGCTTCTACTTTCAAGTCTCTTCCTCAGTCATGGTGAAACACGATTTAGGGAGGGAAGTAGCCATCACAGGTAACCAAGTTCTGCAAGCTCAGGCTGACCCTTGCTCACTTGATTTAGAGCCAACCCTCAGGAGGTGGACACCCCACAAAGAGCACAGATCCATGGCAATCGGCAGGAAGAGCCAAGTCATCTCAGTTGCAATCTCAGAGGCACAGTCAAGGGGCTGCAGAGAAGGCAGAGAGACATTTCAGAGACCATGGGTATGATGTGAAAACACAGAGTGGGACCAAGGCAAGATGGTGCCTTCATCAAATTACACATGCAGACATGGGTACAGTCTCTCCCTCAAGTCCCTCTTCATAGTAGGGGACATAAGAGTGCTTGAAACAAACCACACACCTCTATCTAAAAAATGTGCCAATTTGCTGAACCACAAAATGAGTCTCCCACCACCACCATGAAAGAATGTTCTGATTACAACTGTATGCTATGGATGAAGTCTAAATTTACTGGCAAAAAAACAAGGGACATTTTTGAAGTAGTAGTTTCTGGGACCATTTCTTCTTAAGATGAGTTTGAATCCATCTTGATTGTTCTTTTTTTTTTTTTAAGATTTATTTATTTGAGAGAGAGTGGGTGGGGAGGGGCAGAGGGAAAGGGAGAGTCTTAAGCAGACTCCACTCTGAGCTTGGAGCCCAACTCGGGGCTCAACACAGGGCTTGATCCCACGACCCTGAGATCACGACCTGAGCAGAAACCAAGAGTTGGACGCTTAACTCACTGTACCACCCATGCGCACCAATCTTGACTGTTCTTGTGAAAAACTAGTCAGTTCCTTTCCTCACACTTTGAGGAAGAAGGAAATACAGAGTAAAGTCCAAGGTCCAGAATCCCAAAGGGCCCTGCTATAATCCTGTTTCCTCTTGAACTGAGCCTAGTGATCATTTGGGATTTACAATTGGACTTCCCATCCTGGAACATGATAAGCATTTTTATTTATGCAAGTTTACTTGTAACTCTTTCCAGAAACTTTTCACGTAGGTCCCCTGAATTTCCCAACAAATTAATCCCAGATATTTTATGTATATTTATTTACATAGTATTACTATTTATATAGTAATAATTTATAGGTAAAATGCTGATTTATTCCTGCTTCTCCAACTTCAAGTTCTAAAGGTCTGAGGAGTTCTGAGACATGTCCTAGAAGCCTGTGTTGTTGTTGTTGTTGTTTTAAACTTTTTCTTTTTTTTAAGATTTTATTTATTTGACAGATAGAAACATAGTGAGAGAGGGAACACAAGCAGGGGGAGTGGGAGAGGGAGAAGCAGTCTTCCCGCAGAGTGAGCAGGGAGCCCGATGTGGGGCTCGATCCCAGGACCCGGGGATCATGACCTGAGCCGAAGGCAGATGCTTAACGACTGAGCCACCCAGGCGCCCAGGCCTGTGTTTTAAAGACAAAGAGATGTGCCTTTCTTCTTTGTGACTTTTAAACATGGGTTCCCCTTCACATGAAACAATCTGAAATGCTCTGTGATGAAAGAAGAATAGAGAATGGTGAGTGGAAATCAAATCAGGCCCATGACTCAGTCTCACGGCAGGTTTAGGACTCAACTGAATGCCACCAGCTGCCATAGTGATTTGGCCAATATAGTTTTATATCTCTTATTCTTACTCATATGTTGTTTAAATTAAATTTACAGAGGAATGAAACAAGTAGTATTGCTAATCTAGCCATTTTTACATGATCCACAATGCCTTTTCTGCAGTTCTAAATTCCCAAACCTTTTCTAATCAAGTTTCTTCCCCTATTATGTATCTGCCAAATTTACCAGAAATAACCACACTGTTTACATATTGTCTCTCTCCATCCTAGTGTGACTCTTCATGTATTTTGCTACAGATTTAAGTATATATGGCTAGATGTTGCTTCAGGCCCGCTCAGGATGTTACATACTGTGTGGTATATGCACCTTACTATCCTGCTAAAATCCAAACACTTGTGGATTCCAAAATAGTTCTGGCCCTGAAGGCTTTAATGAAGGATTGGGGCCCTGTGTGCAAACAGGATGCATAACATTTTTGATATTTTACATGCATAATAGTTAACATTTGTTCAGAAATGCTTTAACCTAATCAAATTACAGTAAATTAAGTAGCATGCTTAATTTGCTAAATGAGAAAAAGAACATGATATTGTTAAAAGTTGTATTAAAGTGGATTTCATGAATCAATCTTCAATAATATACTTATTGAAAATTACCTTTTAACCACATATCATGTTTTTATCCCATACCATATAAACAGAAATAAATAACCAAAAGAACTTCCAAGGGGGCTTGTTTCCTAAAGTTGTTAAAGTTCTTCAAATCTGATGGCAAACCACTACAAGCATCCCCAGTCACATCCAAAATGAAGCAATAATAACTTGACTCATTAATGTGGCTCTGTTGTACTACCTAGGGCTATGTAACATCAATTTTTTAAAGTCAAAACATGGAAAAGGAAAAAGCCAAATTACTCATGGAATGGGGCTGGTGTTTTACCTACAGTGGCCACGAAAAATCCAAGGAAACGCTATTAAAATGAAAGACATCTGTATGGTCTCTGAGTAAATACTAATCAAAATCAAGACTGTCTAATTGCAACAAATAAGATGAACAATGTGCAGCCTGTAGGTGGATGCTCTCCACAGTGACCATAAAAATTAACAACTCCTGGAACAAGTTTGGCAGGCAGTGGGCAGGATGGCCCAAGGGGATGCACAGGGCTGCTAAAACCTGCTGGGAAACTCCAAGAGGAGAGTACACCAGGTGCTGGGCCCAAGGATGTTGGGAGAGCCCCGCGATCATCAGAGCCTGGGCCCTGAGGAAGACAAGACCACAGCAGGCCCTGGGACCTAAGGAAGATGAGAGAATGAGAATAGCAGATACCGGCCTCTGAGGAAGAGAAGACGTTATTTAGTCCTTGGCTCCCAAGGAAGATGAGAACACACCAGGCCCAAACAGGAGCACACACCAGATCCTGGGCAGCGACAGACTTTTCACTTCCTAGACACGGGCACCTCGGCTCACAGAAGAGGTCGGTGGGCGGGGGACCCTACCCACCTCACTCCTCCCCCTGACAAGGACCCTTTGCTTACCCAAACTTTAGTCAGGCCCCCCTGCGCCCTCTCCCCAACAAGGCCCATCCACGCACTTCCTCCTAGAATCTAGTTTTTGCAAGAATCCTAGTGAGTCAGTTTAACAAGACCTCTCTACCCTCAAATCTGGTCGAACTCCTCACCCCCACTGTCGCCCCCAGGGCTATCTGATCACCCTGGCCTGCCTTCAGCAAGAATCTCATTAGGCTGGTTCGGCCAGAAGCCCCCAGTGCAATTTTCTGTCAACCCACAAAGCCCACCGCCCCGACACACACTGCAGCTTGCTTCTTAGCTATAAACCCCACCTGATCCAGTCGTGTTCGGAACCGAGCCCAGCTCTAGACCGGAGCGTCTCTTCCCC